CTGCGGGAGAGGCGCTGCTGCAGGTGCACACCGCGGCCAGGATGGTGCGCCGCAGGACGACAACGCGGAGCTCGGCCGCCACGCCGCCACACCGGCGGGGAGCTCTTCCTTTTCCCGCGGCCTCGCCTGTTGTCCATTTCGCTGTTTGATTATTTACCTACGGCAGCGGGCAGCACGTTTGCCGGCCCACGCACCGCCAGCACTACGCCGAGCACGCCTTCCTGCTGGAGCAGTGCCACGTGCAAGTGCAAGCAGGCGGCATTGCGCAAGCGGCAAGTCGGTCCACACTCTCCTCTCCGCCCAAGCGGCCCAAGTAAACGAGTAGACGGCCCTCGAGCCCCGCGATGGCGCGGGAGAGCGGGCTCGAGCGGGCCGGCCCGGGCTCAGGCCGCCAGGCCGCCAGGCCGCGGCCCCAGTTGGGGCTGCCCTTGAGCAAGGCCGCTGCACCTGAGGGCCCCCGGCGCCACGCTCGCCTCGCCTCGCCCGCCTCGACACGCCCCTCCCCGTTGTCATAGCAACCAGGCGCACCTGTTACACGAGGCGGCGACGATCGAGCCGCCTCGCACGGCTATTTGCAGCCGCGTGGTTTGTCGCTCTGTCTCTCTCGCGCCGTCACGGTGTGCCTCATGAGAGTGACAGAGACAGAGCGACTCTTCTGAGAGGCTCGGCGTGAGGTGCGCGGCGGGCGTCCGGCAAGACGGCTGCTGCGGGCTGCGCACCTCGGCCTGCCCGGCCTGCACATAATTGTCTTCACCTTTCGATTACAAGTCGACTGCGAAACCTCGCCGGCTCGGCAAAGTGCACGGGCAGTGCAGCGCGGTGGAGGCACGCGCTGTGCTCTTCCGCGTTGGCGCGCACCGCCACTGCTGCCCCTGCTCGTGGTCAACCCGGCCCCCACCACGGACCTACGCAGCGGGGTGCGTTGGCGTCGCGCCTCGCCGACGCGGGTTCGAATTCGCTATGCACTCCCGTGCTTTTTGCGCGTGTGTCTGGATCTTTATTGTCACTGGCGAGTGAAGTCGCTTAGCCCTCGCCCTCCGAGGGGCCCCAGAGTCCACGAGCCAAACCTTGGCACGGATTTACAGAGCGGGATTATATTATCCCGGCCGTATTTTCGTGAGGCTGGCGGGCCGGGCGTGCGGTGCTCCGCGGCAAGGCTTCGGCTTGCCAGGCTTGCCAAGCTTGCCCAACAGCCGATGGGCAGGCTGGGCCACCTCGGTGCTGCCAGTGGTGTGGTGCTGCACTTCGCGGCGCTCCGCGGCGAGGTGAAACAAACCACGCGGCCGGCCCAGGCCAGCCCCAGCCCGCCCAGCCCCCGCCGCCGGCCCCACGGAAACAACAACGGCGTCCTGGCAGCCTGATTCCGAACTTTCAGTGTTTTCGCCCCTTTCTCTCTCTCGCGCACGGGCACTCCGTAGGGGTGCGAGAGAGACAGAGCGGCGAAGGCTGCTGGGTGGCACCAGCCCTGGCAGCGGCCCACCCGCGGCGGGTGGCGAATTCCCCGTAATTTCCACGTCATGTTTTCGGCCGCGCCATCAAAAGCCCGAGCATGACTGCAAACGACTGTCATGCTCTCGGTGGAGTCCGGCCCGAGTCCGGCCCGAGTCCGGGCGGACGGCAACAACAGGTACTTGGGGGCCCGCGGGGCCGTGGGTTGGCGGCACTGCATAAAACGAGCTTACGGCCGCCGCGATGTGTGGCCACGCCACTGTGGCGGGGCGGGGCGCGTCGCGTTTGCCTGGCGCGGCGCTCCCAGTGGCGGTCGCGCGGCCGCGAGCTCGTCCTGGAGGGTAATCGCCTGCCCGCTGCTGCTGTTGGATGTTTTACGACCCGTCGCGAACCAGCGACGCGCGCGTCGTAGTGCAAAATTTACATTGGTGGCTTTACCAGCTCTGCTCGCCACCACTGGACGGATGGTCCGGGGGCGGCGCGGGCTGGAAGACACGAAGACACGCGGGGCATGCGGCACTCATGAGCCGAGCTGTTGCCGCTGCTTCCGGCAGCCGGGTGGGGCGAGCGTGGCTGGAGCAAGCAGCTGTTGCAGATCATGTGACGCGCGCTCCGCCCCGCCCCACCCCGATCGACTCTATCAGCCCGGCGCCTCGCCGCCACTACCGGGCGGGGCGGGGCGTGGCGGGGCACTGGCGGCGTGGTGTGGCGGCCTGGCGGTGCGGGACGCGGCGACGCGGCGACGCGGCCCAAGGTCGTATTGGAGCGGAGCGGAGGGCTCGCCTTTCCAGGCGGACACCGCCAGCCTAGCCGTCTCGGCCGCGCCGCTCCCCGCCGCCCCCCGCCACGCCTCACCAGGCCTCGCCGCGCCGCGCCACGCTCGACGCCGCCGCGGCGCCGCCAGTAAGTTCGATGCGACCCAGCTTCCGGACTTAATTAGCTTCCGGTTTGTTCGTCACCGTCACTGCAAAGAGGCGCGGCGCGGCGCTCTGGCAGATATCGTTACTGAAATCCCACCGCCCAGTAAACTCACAGAGCCCGCTCTGTCTCTCTCGCACCGAAACAGGACGCCCCATGAGTGCGAGAGAGACAGAGCGTGTGCCGCGCGCTGCGTGGCCGTAAAGGTCGACGGTTTGCACAAGCGGCCGCGTGGTCGGCCGCGCGGCAGCCGAACAACCCAAAGTCGAGCCGGGATGACCCAACCGGTGTCCCATCCGCGCCGCGCCGCGCCGCGCCGCGCCAGGCCTCTCTCCGCGCCACATTAGCCGGCCAATCATTGGGTGTGACTTCGTGACCAGAATGCACCACGCAAGACGTCGTCGACGTCGTCCCTGCCGAGGCAGGCGAAGGCAGCCCAGGGCAGCCCAGGCGGCGGCGTGGCCCGGCTGCCGGGCTGGCGGGCCCGTCCCGCGTTGCAGTCTCCACCGCCGACAGGTTCCAGGCCTCCGACTCCGAGAGCCGTTTTCGTCGCTCTGTCTCTCTCGCACTCAAGGCTCGTCCCATTCAGTGCGAGAGAGGCAGTTTGAGTGCTGGCCGCTGGACCTGCATGGACTAGACGCTCCTCCTCTCTCTGGCAGTGCCGCGGCGTTGGGCCGAGAATGTATTGCCTCGTTTGTGTGTCTAAATCGACAGGCCGCGTCGGCACGTCCAGGCCGCTGGCTACTGGACGCACTGCAGCCGTCCTGGAGTCTTTTGGTCACGCTCGCCGCTTCCTGGACTTGCGGACTCCATTTTCCAGGACTGATATGGGTAATCTTCACTCCAGGATCAGCCTTGAATCACTCCACGGACAGTGTCGTGCTGAAGACAGATCCCGAACAGAGCTTCGTCGCTCTGTCTCTCTCACACCCCAACGAGGGCGCCCGTAAGTGCGAGAGAGACGGAATGAAGGTGGCACTGTTCGGATTCGGCCCGCTGGACGACGCGGCGGCTAATCGGGCACCTGCGCGGTGACGGCCTGCCTGCCTCTGGAGTCTGCTGGAGTCTGCTGGAGAAGGGCCGCCGGCAGCGAGTCTCCCCCGCGATGTTTTCTCGGACAATGGGGGTATTGTGCGCCTCGTGCTGGAAGTGGAATCAAGGGAGATAAGTTATTAGGCAGTTTCTTGTGCAAAGCCCATTCACTATTCGGATCCGCTGGCCGGTGGCCCCGCCATGGCCCCGCCGTGGGCCCCGCGGGGGGCAGCAGGCCGTCTGGCCAGGCCGTCTAGTTGCACAGGCGGGACGGCGGCTAGCAGTCACCGTGGACAAAGCGGGGCCCGGGCCAAAAGTTTGCACACGCCATGGGGAGCTACGTACAACTTAAAATTTTTTTGTTCACAGGATTCTTCAAGAAGACAGATTTTGTGAGGTAAGATAAGATTAAGCTTGATTTTCCAGCTAAACTATGCGAGATTCTTCCGGGAGGGCATGGAATACATTCACAAGATTTCGAAGGGATTTCACGAGAGTTCATCAAACTTCGACCGATTCCGCACAATCCTTCGGCCGCTCCAGTGTACACAACATTTTGCGAGTGGTCGCCCCGTGCGCAACTCAAAGTGCGCCCGTGGCGCTTGGCTCTTCGCTGGCGGGGCTGGACACGCAGCACGCAGTTAGCGAGGCGTGCCCGGCCGAGCATAACCCACTCGGAAAACAACAAAAGGAAATTCGCCGAGGCTGACGCAGGCCGACGCAGGGAACCTCGAGGGAACCCCACAGAACGACCCGCGCTGCCCGCGCCCTTCCGTGTCCGCAGCGTCCGCGCCGCACCGCGTGCATTATGTTTGCTGCCCCGCTCCCCTCTCACCGATCTTTCACTTTTCCGCGTCTGCCCGGAAGGACAGAGGCCCCCGCCCCCTTCTCCCAGTGCTCCGGCTGACTGAGCCCGCAGTCCCCGTCCATCCTTGAAGGCGCGCTCGGTGGCGTGCCGCGAGAGCGCGCGCTCTGCAACGCCCCGCACGCCGCACCGCGCAGCACCGCGCAGCACGCCGCCGGACATTCACCTCGATGCACGGCCAGAGGCGGGCAGCGGGCAGCCGGCCTGGGCGGCGCGACCTCGGACCTCGCAGTGGACACGACGCCGCGCCGCCATGCCGCCTCGTCACGCCACAGAGCATACAGTCGCCAATTACTATATCGCAATCCTCGACTCGTCACCCGGCCCGCCGCCCCCTGGGTCCCCGAGGAGGCACTGTCGCACCCACTGTGTTTGTTGACCAAATGTCACAAGTCGTCGGAACTCTGAACCATAGCAGTTTCCATTGGTTTAGCTAGCGGCGACGTGTGGCGCCCAGCCCAATAAATTTGGACTTCTCGATTTTCCTGACCTAAGCGTCCCAGAAAGAAGTTGCTTTCGAGACTTGCAGACCGGCGGCGTGCGACACGACACGGGTTCGCACTGGACGCACGCTGTAGAGGCTGGAAGTCTGCAACAAGGCACGCCGCGCACCGCGCCGGCTGCTGCCTCTCCTCCCCCACCCAGCCGGCCGCGCCACGCCGCCACGCCGGCAGGCCCGTGTGCTGCGGGCCCAAGGGGCTCGGACCCAACCAACCTCCTCAGTTGCCCGACCACCTGCGCCGCGCGAGCCACGCCGCCGCCGCGCGCGACCCGCCGACGACCACAACGACGACCCGCGCGCGAATCGAAGATCGAAGATCGAAGCCCGCGTCGCACCTCTCCGACAGCGTCGACCACCTTGCCGACGACGCCCCTTGGATGAAGTGCAAAGTGCCAGTGCAGTGGTGTCAGTGAAGTGCCTGTGTCTGTGTGCGCGTGTGTGAGAGCGCGCCTACACCGGTAGACCGGTATATTAGTGTTATCTGTGAGTGCTTCCGGCCCGCCCGCCAATACTATCTCCGGCGGCCTCCAGCTGCAGCCCCAGCAAGCCAGCAAGCCCAGACAGCCACCGCCCGGCTGCTGCAGTGGAAAACGAACGCACAGGATTTACCGCGGCCGCCACCGCGCCCTCCACCCGCGCAGGTATGTAGCACCAGGAAGCGGTGCGGTACGCCCCACACTGGAGAATGAAGACAGATCGCGAGCAGGCTAACGGTGCGCTGCGTTTCTTACGTAGACAGCCGTTTGAACCGTGCAAAAATTGTACAAAAAAATGGCATTGGACATGTTAACTGCAAAAAAATTTCGAGATCATAATTTACGTAGCCGGCTTACCGACAGCCACGATGAAAAGGTTGCTCCGTTTTAATAGTTCCCTCTATAATAAAAAGAAGCCCCTTCGTGAGACGTGAAGGGGAGCTGGCTCAGGAACTCGTTTGTGTGTTTGTCACCACATTGGGACAGCCTCCATCGCGGTGGTCTGGCGGTCCATGGGTGGGACCGTTCAGCTCCCCTTAACGAGGATCGATGTCAACACCACACTAGGAAACGGGCGGCCGCGAGGCGTGCCGAAGGGCCGGCCTGCCTTGCTGCTCTCGTCGCTCTGTCTCTCTTCCGCCCTTGCGGCACGCGGCACGCCCCATGAGTGCGAGAGAGACAGGGACGAGAGCAGTGCTCGGAATCAACCTGCAGCCTGCCCAGACGGGCTCGTCGAGGAAGCTTGCCGGCCACGCAGTTACTGGTGCAGGCATTGCAGGCGCTGCAGGCACTGCGTCCTCGACGTGCGGCTCGGCTCGATCGCTGCATCAATGCGTTCGGCCCGTTCGGCCTCTGCGACATGACGTGACTGGATTGTCTGCCGCGATGAATGGCGAGTGAAGATGCCTCGCGAGGCGCGAAGCGCGCGACGACAGATCTATCAAGACCAGATTTGTTCTCTGGCAAGTTATGGGCCGGCTGTTCTTGAGCCGGTTCTTGAGCCTCAGCAGCCTCAGCCACCTCGTAAGTCGCAGCTCTTAAGTAAGACCCAGCCTCAACTCTAGGGTCTTTTGTCAACTCATACTTCTTTAGTCAAACTCATGGGTTTGAAGTCAAAGTCACACATCTTTCGTCAATTCTCTGCTGCGAGTCAAGTGCCTGGCCGTCTGGTTTGGAGGTCCTGGGAGTTTTCCTCGAGGACTTTATCGAGGGATTCGGGTTTACGACTGGAGTCTTGCATCACAGTGAGACACGCGCTCCTGGACCGCGGCCGTGGCTGTGCCGCTGTGATGCACCCGCGACTTCCACGAAACATCCTCGCATGATTCACGGTTTGTTCTTTTTGCTTTGCACCCGCCTAAACGGCCCCCGCAGCCTACCCCCCACACCCGCAGCGCGGCCTTGGCTGGGCCGTCCGTGTCATCGACCGCGCTGGGGCGCGCTGGGCCCACCGCCTTGCCCACCGCCTTGCCCACCGCCTTGCACATACCGCCTTGCCCACCGCCTTGCCCACCGCCTTGTCCACCACCTTGCCCACCGCCTTGTCCATACCGCCTTGCCCACCGCCTTGCCCACCGCCTTGTCCACCACCTTGCCCACCGCCTTGCCCACCGCCTTGCACATACCGCCTTGCCCACCGCCTTGCCCACCGCCATCCTGACGCAACGACAACCCCATCGCACACACTGCAACTCCATAAATATACTTTGTCAAAGGTCTCGACGGCTGCCCCGCCCCGCCTCCCCAGAGGCCGCTTCGCCATTTCGCAATGCGTTTATTGCCCAGTACGGCGCGGCCGCGGCCGGCCCGGTCGCATCATCACATTGCGTCCGAGCAGCCGGCCGATGGCTTGCCGATGGCGTCCCCATCATCGAGTACTAAAGCTGGACCCTCACGTTCGCGTCGTTTGGTCATTCGCTTTGGTTTCCGAAGCTGCGGTGCTGTGCACACAGACACAGGCGGACTCACGCACACTCTGTACCGCCTTACGTAATTTGTGGACGAACCTGTTCCCCGGCACATGGTCGCGCGACGCATCGGACGGGACGGTCACAGCGAGCGGCGTGGCGGCCGGCCGGACAGGTGCCTTCCCCGACAACAAGTGCAGCAGCAGCCTGCCGCCGCCACCACCGCGCCCCTCCCCCTCGTTAGAGCACGGCGCAGCACGGCGGCGTGGAGCACGGCGCTGCAACCGATGATTACGTCCCGATTTACCGAGTCGGTTTCCGGATCGCCCCGCCGCCACGGCGCACCACGGCGTGCCACGGAGTCCGCTGGACCGCCCCGCCCCGCCCGCCCCGCCCCGCCCCGCCTCCGCCCTCCGCCGCGCCGATCTAGTTGGCCGCGCGGCCGCGGCGTGCGCCAGGCCGCCAGGCGGCGCCACGTGTCCTTGGCCTTCGCGTGCTTCTGCTCCGCGTCACGTCTTTGATCCGCGATCCACGGCGCCGGGCCGGCCAGGCGGCCAGGCACGCCGCAACAGGATGAGCCGGCCACTCCTTCGCGGCAAAGTCCGGTAAAGTCCTGGAGCCAGGCGGTTGCCATGCGGGGAGCGCGACTTTATACCTCCTGCGTTAGCAACCTCGTGCTTAGCCGTAACATGACCAAATTAAAAGCGTGAAGTCGATATATCCTAAATGAACTCTGTACTCCCGGGCTACCGGGCTTTCCTCCTAAAACCTTCAGCCTGAGGCGACAATACGAGGGATCACTGCTTGCCGGCCCGGGCGTGTCTGACTGTCTGTCTGTCTGTGAAGCTGCCAGTGTGCCTGGCTGCGTCTCTGCCGTGGGACCCGCGCCGCCGTCGTGAGCGAGACCGTCGCCGCCAAGCCAGGCCAAGCCAAGCGCGCGCCGCGCACCCTTAGCTATGACAAGGCCAGGCTCGGGCAGTCCGCCAGCCGTTCCCTCTAAGTGCGGATTTAGAATGAGACGTCACGTGACAGTCGGACGGACGGTCGGACCAACTAACGACCAGACTGACGGACTTTCAGTCGGTTTAGTTTGTAAAACGTTTTTACAGACAGACAGCCTTTCTCCGCCGGGGGTCCCACGGGCCGGGGCCTTGGCCCAAGGGCGCTGGGAGATGGGAAGTGCTGCAGTCCCTTCCACGCGTTGAAAGGGGCCGCATCCCCGCCATGGCCATGCCGCCAGCGGGCCAGCGCCTGGTCCTCGCCGTCGATGCCATCTCGGTGGCCAAGCCCGGCCAAGCCCGGCCAAGCCCCGCCAAGCCCCCGACTGACTCCCTTCCCGCGGGGCACTTCCTTTGTTTGTTTCGGTGCCGCAACGGCCGCGGCGGGGCTGGCGGGGCTGGCGGCGGCAATCGCGAGCTCGTTGTCCTGGAAACCACACTAATGGACCAAACACCGAACGGCTCGGCTGGAGGCTGGGGTAGCTCGCCTGGTCCACGGCGACGGCAACTGCCTGCAGGCTCATTTCAAACAGAGCCCCGTCGCTCTGTCTCCCTCGCGCCTCACGCGTCCGGCCCCCCGAGTGCGAGGGAGACGACGACGAAAGCGCGACGGCTGTTCGTTTCGACGTGGAGGGGGTCCTCCGGTCTGGGCCGGGGACCCTTACCGCTGGGCTCCATTCCATTGTCTTATCCCTTATCACCTGCCGTCCTGGGTCTGGGTCTCAGTGCTGCCTGCCAGCCCCGGCGAAAGGCGAAAGCTGCGCGGCTTGACGCCGCCGTCGCCTGGAGTCCTAGGACTCCATCGTCGCCGTGCCTTCGCGCCTAACGGCCGCCGGGTAGGCAACCCTTGCTGCTCCACGCACCGGCGCGTGGCGGTGCGGCCTACCCGCCGGGGGCTCCGAGGGCTCCACCGCCGCGCCGTCGACGGCGCGCTCCGGTCGCTCCAAGCCCGCCGTTTTGGCGCCAAATGTTTGTCTGCGGCTTCAAAAGCGGAGGGAGGTGTGGGCGAGGCAAAGACAACCACGACTCCGCCCGCTGCCCCTCGGCGGCGACGCGGCGACGCGACGTTAGCGGTGGAAGGTTTTTCCTTTTTCTTCCTCCGCGGCCCGTTCCGTATTCCGGCCGATGAACCTCACGCGGAGCATTACAGCAAATGGCGTGATGGTCGGCGTGATGACGGCGCGCTGCGGTCGCCGTGCTGGTCGGCGTGTCGGCCGTGTTGGCGGTCGGCACAGCGTGCAGCCAATCAGCGATGATGCAGGAAACCAAGTGACTGCGTTATCGTCGCACCGCCGCAAAATGCAGTCATGAGCAGTGCAGTGGCGCGGCTAATGGCGGTGCGTGGAATGGGGGAACCACGGCGCCTTGGCCTGCCTGCCCTGACTCAACCACACGCATCAGGCCTGCAGCCTATGTTTTTCTGCGTTTTGAAGTCTACTGTTCTCGTCTGCCTTTGTACGAGAGCTAGGCTGGACACAACCTATGATTAAAAAAACAAAAACAATAAAAACTTGGAGAAAAAAAAATTCTGATTAGTGGGTATTTGAACCTTGGCTGGCGCTTGCGGTGTACGCATTGCATTAGGCTATGGCATGCTGCGTGTCATCGTCATTCCGTCCCGGAAGTCCCGGAAATAAAAAGGAAGGCCCAAGGACGACGCTGGGCGGCGTGGCGGGGCTCGGCGGGGCGTGGCGGGGCGTGGCGGGGCGGTGGCACTGCCCGCGCCGCGTCTGCCGAGCGAGAGCTCCTCCCGAGGCCCGAAGCATGCTTCGAGCGTCTACTCAAAGCAGAACTGATAATCATTTTTCCGAGTGCTCTGCGAGCTGTGCGGCCCCAACTTTGGCGCCAGAACCCTCTCCCATACATCCTGGGCACTGGACCGGGATGCCTTCCGAATCCACACAGCCCAATTAAAGGTGTTGATGAGCGTGAGGAAGGGAAATGTGCCTTTTTTGGCATGTGTGAATGTGTGAGTGCGGAGGGCTGTGATGAGAGCGCAGCGCGGCCGAGTCGGAATCATTGCGTCAGTTTGAAAAGCGCGCTTGGTTATGAGCTTTTGAGGTGGTTCAATCACCTCTTGCGCTTGACTACTTTTTCGATGGTTTCTTGGCACTGAAGCTTAAGCTCAATGCCCCTTTTTCGAAGGAGATTAAACGACTTTATTGTGTTCCCGGTAGTCCGTACGGTTGTCTCTGTCTGTGGAGATATTTTTGTCCGGAGACGAGTGGCCGGTGGCGGTGGTGGTCGAGATGGTGTACAGGTTGAGCGCAGCCCGGCCTATCCATCTCTCTTGAAGCTCGTCTTCCCCGCGTGCACGCTGGCTGCGGATTTGCGGCTGCAGGCTGCAGGCAGCCCAGGCCGAGCTGGCAGCCCGGGGCAGCTCGGGGTCCGAGTGCCATTATGCCTCAATATCTTACGTGACTTCACGACGGCCGTTCGGGGTCTTTTGCTGAAGACGCACTTGCTGCGGCTTTCCTCCTCCTTGAGCGTGTGTGTGTGTGTGCGTGATTGTGTGTGAGTGAGACAGAGAGTGAATGTGAGCTCCGTGGCGTAACACCTGTCTGATCAATTTGCCTCACCTCGGCTTTACCATGGCTTTACGGACGGCCAGCAGACCCCGCGCGCAGCGTCCAAGATTAAGGCAGGCGAGGCTCGATGGCTCATCTCGAGATCTCGACGCGCCGAAAGGGCCTCCGGGATGTCTGTGTTTAACTGCCCGATGATGGACGGCCGCCCAGGCCCGGTTTGAGGTTCCCGAAGTTGTTGTCTCGAGCACTTCCAACTTGCAGTGCCGAACGCCGCCAAGCTGGCTAAGGCGGCCTTAATCAAAACCTCGGCCGGCTGCTGACTCGCTGCTGACTCGCTGCTTGGTGAGGCGCCGCGCCACGGTCCGTGCCCCGCCGCCCCGCCGCCCCGCCGGCCTGCACACTGATTCAGAGAGCCGTTTTCGTCGCTCTGTCTCCCTCGCACCCATACGGCACGCCCCGTGAGTGCGAGGGAGACAGAGCGACTGCCGCGCCTGGCCGCGCCTGGCCGCAAGGACGGCGCCGCTCGCCACCACTCCACTGTGCGCGTGGTGGCGCCTCGGCGCCTTGCGCGTGGAGCCAGCGGCGCGGCGCCGGCCGGCGAGCGAGCGAGCGGGCTTACAGAGTTGCGGAGGTATGCATTATTCCACATCAAAAAGACAGGCTTCTCTTTATCTTTGGGAATGGCATTGTCTCTCTCCGTTCACGACGGCCGCGTGGGCCCCGTGGGGGTACAGCGATACGACTGGGGTTAACTGTCGCAACCGCCACTGGGCCGTCCTAGAGGGGGCCGAAGGAACGGGAGCGGGGCGGTGCGCGTTCTGCCGTGAGGCGACTGGACGACACGCGACGTGGAGACACACTCGCTGTTTCTTTCTCTCTCACACACACACACACAAACTCACTCAGAGCACTTGCAGCCGTTTATTCAATCTTCCCATTAGAGTCACGACTTTTTACAAGCGTCTAATAGGGGGCTGTGCAAGCATCCTTTGTCTGCACTGGAAGTCCGCTCCCTGTAGCGCGCACGGTAGCCGCAGTGTGAGTGTGTGAGCGTGAGTGTGTGTGCGCGCAGATCGAATCGGCGCGGCGCGCACACTGTTTATGGAGCCTTCCCCCTCAGCAGGCTGATTCCGAGCGGAGCGTCCCGTCGGTCTGCCTCTCTCGCACCCGTAACGGGTGCCTCCAAGCCTGCAGCAACAACGCTCCAGCGACGCCTGTGCCTGAGAGTGCGTTGCGTAGGATGGCTCGCCGATTGAACTTGACCGGACTGGAGCGCAGTGCTGATTCCGAGAGTCGCCCTGTCTCCCTCGCACGCGTGGGGCGTCCGGCGCCAGAGAGACAGAGCGATGAAAACGACTCTCGGAATCAGTCCGCAGGCAGCAGAGCGTGCCTGGCGTCGTCGTAGGCTCAGCCAATAGCAGGAGATGCAGCACGCAGATACCCGCTTCCGCCGCTCACACAAGCACGCACACAAATGCCCACGTAGATGTCCATCTATGTCGCTGCGCACACTTCCACGCCACTCCGCCGGGCACTGTATGCAAAGCGTGCAAAGCGCCCCTACACTGTACACACTCACACAAGCCGCCGTTTCCTCAAAAAAGAGCGAAAAAGCCGGCCGCCTCCACGCCAACAAGTTCAAGTAGTGTGAAGTTGGCGGCGCAACCCACCGCCAAATCCGACAAAAAGGATTGTGCGGAGGACGGTGCGTTCGGGACGGACAGTGTGGTCGCGCGGAAAACTACCGCAACGCGCAACACGTGTGGACCCGGCAACACCCACAGCAACAACAACAACACCAACTACAACAATACGAAGGAATGTGAAAACTCGACTCGGATAAAGAGGGGAGGGGGACGCTGGCGCGCGCTGCTGTGCTGGATGAAAGAATAGCGTGTAGAGTCGTGGGATCCTTTAATCAGGTGCTGGCCTGCCGGTGGCCTGCCGCTGGCCTGCCCTACGCCGCCATTTCATATTCCGTTGCTACACGTGCAGCTGGGTGCCCTGCGTTGCGTCCACGGCCCCTGGACGGCCTGGACGGCCGGGACTGGACAGTGGACCCTCGGCAGCAGAGTAGCCGAAGTCCGCTCACGACTATCGTGGCGTTCGCGGCCGCGGCGCCGAGGCGAGGCAGCCACGCGCCAGGCCCAGCGCCCTAATACACACTTTGCCAAACGGGCGGCCCAAATTACGCGGCCTCAATGTAGGGCACGCGCCAACGCTTGTTTTTGTTTTCGTTTCGTTGTGAAAACAAAGTGCTTGCAAAGACGGTTTGGACACGAGAGATTATTGAGGTTTTCGTCTCTGTTGCAGCATCCATGCGCGGGCGCCCCCGTACCTCGAACCCGTCATGAACCTTTGGAGGTTCCGAGCCTGAGTGAGTATCCAGTGTCCCGCCCGCGGCGGCTCAAGCCTCCCGCTCCAGCCTCAAGGGCGAACAGCGCTCGTCCGCGACACTGCTAAATCGCGGATAACCTCGCGGGAAAAGGCCGTCGTTTTTGTCGCCATTTCCGGGTTTTGAGACGCGGTTTCGGCACCACGCATTTCAGGGGGCCGCCCTCCCCGACGCGATGCCCCTCCAGGACGTGGCGTTGACATGGCGCCAGGGCGGGGCTCGGGGGACCGCCGGGGACGGGTGGGCGGGGCGACAGCGCGTCCTGGAAGTCCTGGACGCGCCACTGCAATTGTCCTGTCCGCCTTGCGCATGGCAGAGCCAAGGCAGAGCCAAGGCAGAGCCATGGGGCCGTGGGGCCTCGGGGCCTCGGGGCCATGGCAGCGCGGCGGCGGGCCGAAACGCCGCTGTCGAAAAAGAGGGATTGTCTGGCTGGCTGCGACTTCTGGCGTGCGGAATGGGGACAAAGATTACCGCCGAGATTGGCGTTCGGCCAAAAATTACAATTACAATTGCGCCGCGGTCACTGATGAGGGCCTTGTTTTCCTGCTCCGCGTGTCCGAATGGTGTCCGATGTCCGCGTCACGGCGGCCGGCCGGCAGGCTGCCTCGCTCTGTCTCTCTCGCACTCACGGGGCGTCCCGCAGGGCCGCAGGGGTGCGAGAGAGACAGAGCGGGGCCGAACGGGGCGATTTATTTGCCGTGGAATCGGCCAGCGGCTTGGCTAAGGTGTTGCCGATCACGCTCGGGCCAGCCAGGGCTGCCAGGGCTGCCAGGGCTGCTTGCTGCTTGGCCGCTTAATGATCTGCCTGCTCCCTTTCTAGAGGGCGCTGCCCTGGCCGCGCTGGCCGCCGAGGTGGCCAAACAATCACGGTCGCGAGCCGGCTGCTTATGATCTAGCCGGAGCCGGCCCGGCCGGGTGCGGGTGCAGGTAGGGAAAGAGGGGGGGGGGGGCAACGAACACTGCTTGGGGAATGAATGCAATGTAATTCAGAGCGCCAGTTGCTTCCAGACGTCCCAAACCCGAGTCCGGGTGGCCGCGACGCGGGGCCTGCCCGCGCCCGCGCCGCCGCCCGCCTCACGGTGCCTCGCGGCTGACTCGACAGTGCCCCCTCCCTCCCTCCCCCCGGCCGGTCCCATCATCCTCTCGTTTCCCTCCTCGGCGACCAGCGCCAGGCGCGGCCCGAGACTGATTCCGCGAGTCGTTTTCGTCGCTCTGTCTCTCTCGCACTCACGGGGCGTGCCGTATAGGTGCGAGAGAGACAGAGCGACGACTCTCGGAATGAGTCTGCTGCCCGACCCACACGTTGCGGAAGCAGTTTGCGTGGATTGTGCAAGTGTGTGCGCGGCGCGGGGAGAGGGGAAGGGGGAGGGGTAGGAAGAGCGGTGGGAGGAATCGGCAGTGACGCCGCAGGCCGCGGGTATCACGCCGGTCATTGTTGTCCTCGCCAGTCGAACCCATCGAACCTCGAGCCTCGGAGTCGGAGTCGGAGGCTCCAAGGCAAGCCCGCGGGCCGCGCGCCGAGTTTATGACTGCCATAAGTAAAGCTCTCGCTCGGACCCTTTCCTTGAATCTTTAATCTTTCCGCTGGATGACAGCGAGTCGAGTCGTGACACAGCTGCAGTCCGCAGTCCGGCCGCGCTGCCTGCCTGCCTGGCCGGCTGCCTGACCTTCCCGGCGGTCGACTGACTTGGCGGTGTCATGTCCGCCACGAGCGGCGTGCACACCGTGCCCGCCGTGCCGTTGCACCCTCGCGCCTCACGGTCACGGAGGAAAAGCTTAAAAGCTCGTCAATTCTTCGCCCTCCCACTCCACCCTCTCCCCCTGACCCCTAAACGGAAAAAATGGGTCCGTCAAGGCGAAGCGAACAACTGCGAAACGCGTTGCCTTTCCGACATTTTTTTCCGGTGGACCTTGCCGCGCCGCCGCCACTGTTTATCGGCGTGGCGCGTGCCGCCGTGCCGCCGTGCCGCTCGAGACGTTGATGACCGACGCCGCTGTCGGCAGCCCCCCCACTTCCCGATCTGCGAATAACCGCGACGCGTGCTGCGCGAGAGTGATTCCGAGCGTCGCTCTGTCTCGCTAGCAATCGGCGCGCCCCGTGTGGGCGCGAGAGAGACAGAGCGACGACCCGCTGCCGGCACACTGCACACGTCCGCGCGTGCGCTATCGCGACGGCGATCGCCACCACATCGCGCGCGTCGTTTCCGCGGATCGAAATGGAAAGGGAAAAATGAGAGTGAGAGAAGCAGAGGCGGGGTTTGCCTTTCCGCTCGCGGGTCGCGGTTTCGCGATAGGCTGGCGATGCACGGATGCGCGCGAGGCGCCGCGCAGAGCTTTTGGGGCGACCATAGCGAGCCGCGCGCGCGCCTTGCTGGAGTGCCGTAGTGCCATTCGGGGAAGTCGGCGACGCCGCGCGGACCGCCCCAAACCACACCGTTGCGCACCACCACGCCAGCCGCCATCATGGAGTGCTCCTGCCCCTGCGTGAGTCCGGGCGCGGCCGAGGGCGCGGCCGAGGGCGCGGCGCAGTCCCGAGCGCGGTGTGCCCTGCCACCCTGCCGCTTTCGGCGTGGGCCTAACTGTCCCTGCTTTCTGTTCCCAGAGAGGCGGCATGAAGGGCTGGTTCGACTTGTCCCGCGTCGACGGCGGCCCCACGCTCTACAGCCATGCCAACCGCACGCCCGTCACGGGGGACGTCACGGCGGCCACCCTGTACCTGGCCGCCGGCACCCTCTTCATCGCCTTCCTCGTCATCTTCCCGGGCGTCCGCAAGGAGGTACTGTCCGCGACGGCCACCAGTGAAGCCAAGGCACTCGAGCAGTTTCGCCACGTTACTCACACTTTCCAATTTTTCTTTCCCGTTTTCAGAGGTTTACCACTTTTAGCAGTGTCACCTTCAGCCTGTTCGTCGGCACTGTGATTCTAGGTGAGTTATTTGACTTCTGCGACAGTGCGTTGTGCCCTCCCTGGAGCGGTCCCCTCCCCTCCCGTCAACTTCACTTTCTCTGGCAGAAGGAGCGCGTCGCGACGCTTTGTCAAGTATGTGCTCACACACGACGAACACGCGCGCGCACTCACACACACACAGCGAGCGGTCGTAACACTGCCGCAAACATGCTAATGAGTTATGTCATGCGCTGGACCGCTCGCTGCCCGCCTCTCATCTGTGATGATAATTGGCGCCGGTTCGATCGTCGCCGTGTGCGTTCGCGAGCTTTGCGAGTGCCTTTTCTAAACGTAAATCTCATCCAGAGAGGCCGGAACTTGATTCGCAGATCTGGGAACCATTTGGGCGTCCTCCTCGACCCAGCCGACAGGCCCGGCCCGCCAGGGTCCGCCAGCTGTGATGAAAATGAAAATGGCTGCGCGGCGACCCGGGCGGCTCGGGCTGGAGGTCGCGGAGGTCGCGGAGGTCGCGGAGAGGTCGGCCAGGCCGCGGAGGCCGCATACCGACACCTCGAAAAGGGCGCGCGGGAAGGGGAGGGCGTCTGGCGCGGTCTGGCGCGCGGCGAGCAGCGCGGTCTTTCCACTGACATTTCTCGGCTGGCCTGGCGGTGACCAAGTCCTCCACCGAAGCCCCGCCTCGCCGATCCGACCCAACCCGACCTACCTCAAGCGGCACGGGAGCAAAAACCGGCTTCCCCGCGGCGGTATTCGAACCGAGGCCCGCTGTCTGCCGCCGTGCAGCTGGGCCGACCCGCCGGGCGCGCGCGCGTTGCGGTGCGGCCTACCCCGCCTTCCGCAGGCGCCCTGCAAGGCTCTCCTGCAACGTCCTTGCCCCGCGCGCCGCGCCCTCTGAGTGCAGCAGGCTGACCATTCCCTTGCTTGCGCTTGCTTGCAGTGACGTGCCACGGCTCCAGCTGGCACGTGGCGAAGAACCAGGTGACGGCCACGTACCGCGCCTTCTCCAAGGAGCGCCTCCGCGCCGAGGTGGGCGCCTACATCGGCCTGAACCATGTCAACATCACGCTGCGCGCGCTGCCCGAGGCGAACCGCACCGAGCCGCAGGACATCGACTTCAACGAGCGCTTCTGGTGGGGCGGCCCGGGCGACATGCGGCAGGGCTACCGGGACGGCCTGGTGCGCGGCCTGCCCTTCCCGCTGCTCACCGTGGCCGAGTCCCTGTCCCTCGGCCAGGAGGGCTTTTCCTGGGGCGGCCAGTACCGCCGCGCGGGCTACTACTGCGGCATCCTGCTGTGGTGAGTCTCGCCCTCTCCGCGACCCTGGAATGCCCGGCGACGAGGCTTCTGCCCCCACCACTGACATTACGGTGTTGTTCATGTTCTGCAGGACGTCGTTCGCGGCGTGGATGCTGTCCAACCTGCTTCTCATCGTGGTGCCCCGCTACGGCGCGTACTGCCTGGCCGCCACCGGCAGCCTCATGCTGTTCGCCGACCTGGTGTACTGGAGCCTGATTCCGCGCACGCAGCTCATGGTGCGCTTCGAGGGCGCCTCGCTGCCCTTCCACCTGGGCTGGTGCTTCTGGCTGGTCATGGTGGCGGGCGCGCTGTGCCTGCTGCTGGGCTTCCTCATCGCCGCGTTCGACGTGCTCTTCCCGCACCGCTTCTCCACCGTGCTCGAGGTGGACTACGACACGCCGTACGACCGGCACATCATCATCGAGGAGTCGCGCGGCAAGCCCAGCCTGGAGCGGCCCTCGGCGCTGGGCTCGCGCATCCTGCGCCGCCTGTCGCGCCGCGACAAGGACAAGCAGCAGGAGGAGCAGCGGCAGCTGCAGTTGCAGCTGGGGCTGCGACAGGGGCTGGACAACGACGCCTTCGAGCTCGACCCGCCCAAGTCGCCGTGGCGCTACCCCTTCCAGCGGCAGCCCCGCCTGCAGCCCCCCAGGGTAAGTCTCCAAGTCGGCCGGGCCGAGGCCTCCGGTGATGCACAGGGTCCTGCAATTGTCTGTCCAATGCGACTGGTTTTGCAGGTGGCTGCGTTCCGCCGGACCGACTCCCAGGACTCGGCGTCCAGCACGGCCTCCAGCGTGAGGGTGTCCTTCAGCAACCTGCCGCCCCCGCAGCGGCAGTCCTCACTGCTCAGGCAGCACCAGGAGCAGCTTTTGCTGCAGCAACAGCAGCAGCAACAACAACAACAAACACTTCCATCACAGCAACAACCACAACAGCCGCAGGGGACACAGCCGAGGCGACCCTCTGACCAAGAACAGCAAGAAGTGAAAATTCCACACCATCCTGCTCTAAGGTCTGACAGCTCTATATTGTTCATCAATTTGGTTTGATCTTGGAAACATTTTATTTTTATAAATTTCTTTTGTTCTGTTTCAGGAGAAGCACAGCTGGACTTGAAGACAAGCATCGGGAAGTTTCAATGTGGTAGACTTTTTTTTTGTATTTAAGTAAATACCCTTATTTATAACTCAAACTGTAATACATTGTGATCTAGATTTTAAAATAAGAATTTAGCAGTATGCTTTGTGATTGACATGCATTGCGTGAGTAGTGTGAATGTAGTACGGCCGTTAAGGTCAAATAAGGTTCTGCATTTGTTTGCTAAATTTGTATGATTCCTTGAGAGAATATTGACAGTGGTGGTGTAACACAGACCACAGTTGTGTCTCTTTCCCTGTATCGGGAATATTTATCGAAGAGGGTGCTCTCTTTTTGAGTCCAGCTCTTCTTAGCTCAAAGTCTTAGTCCATTCAAATTTGCCACTGTTGTAGCTAGTTGGATAGAGTCCTTGATGCATTGAGTGTCGTGTACAGTCGGCTTAAGTCAGTCATTCCCTTTAGAGCTTCCATATTTTAAGCTATTTTAAGCACCGCACCTGGGTTGCGGAGGATGTGCCAAACAAACTATTCGGTTTAAAACTTCTATTCTTAATGTAGTCAATTCTGATCTGTGGGCTGCCTCTCCACTTCCTTGGCCATCGATGCAGCAAGGCGGGGCAAGACTATTTGTTTTCACAATGTGGATTGATTTTATGCCCAAGGTTCTGAGAACAAACGATAGTGTCATAGTCAATGAAGGCTGTTTCGAAGAGGTAGTCTGTCAAGTGGGTGCCATTTTATTAGGCATGCTTGTACCTGAACGCAAATGTAGACACTGTAAATAGTATGTTGCGTCCGGTGAGCAAGGGGGATACCTCACTGTCCAGTCAAACATTCTAAATTTTAAAGCATTTGAATAAAATTGTCCTTTAGGTAGATAAATATTTGCGTTTTGTCAAAATTTCATGACTAGAAAAAAGTTCTGGTTGACTGGGAACAAACTTCTGTGATTCTGTTATTTTGTTCACCTCTGTTGTCTTCCCCCATCAGAGGACTGAACAAATATGATTAGAGCTTATAAAACGATGACCACCTAAACTAAAGCATGCTCTGCATTGAAACAGAGAGCATTGTGTGTATGTGTTTTCTGGCAATCAACTGTGATTTGATAAACACTAGAGATTTGTAGTTTTTTTCTCCACTTCTCTCTCTCTTTAAAGAAAGGGTACGTATATGTGTTAGAACTTCCCAGTATGAAAATGATTTCTATGTACATTAAATTTACCACCTTTTGAATTAGACCAATGAATTAGGAGAATTGTTCTGGACAGTAGATCTATGTTGCCATTGTGTTTGAATAAACATGGAAGGTAATTAAGAATTGTTTCTTTTCTTGTTTCATTCATCCTATTCCCCCTTGAGTAAAAGCCTGATGGTTAAAAAGGAAACAGTAAAGGAATTTATCATTTTTAAAGGTGTGGGATTTTTATTAAACAACATTAGGTGATACATCACTATCATTATTATTGTTGTTTTGAGTATCCAAGACATAAAATTCATTTACCACATTGACTCTTACTTAGAATACTTGCAATACAATACATAGTACAAATACTGCATGTGTGCTACTGCATTGCACATCCAAGGATGTATGGACAGAGGGCATGGACATTTATTTAGCTTATCAGTGCCGTAACACCAAGTTGCGCCACTACAATTACAGCCAAATACTTTTACAGCTTCCTTTCTGAGTTAAAACTTTAGATTCTGAGAAATTACTAATCCAAGCTGGCAGGACCAATTATTTAAGTACACGAAGGCCATTCCCACAAAATCCTACTTTACCTAACCAAAGCAATGATGAATTTCGTCAGCAGTCCATTTGTTCCATAAGAAGACTTACAACTATATGGATAAAGAAAAAAAAAGTCATATTTGCTGTCTTTTTTTATGATCACATTTACCCCTAACAGTTACACATCAGTTACCATATATTGGACCAGTTCATTACCAATTACAACAGTATGGTTACTGAAGAAAGGTGACATTTCAAAATTCATCTTTATGTATTGCACCCTTAGAAGCAAGTGTGTCAACGCATTCCTTGAATCTTGACTTCAGGAAAAGACGGCAAGGAAAAAAAAAATTGTAATCAAAATTAACATAAAATGAATATCTTTTATCAGACACATGGCAGTAATGGTAGCGGCGCTGCTTATTTAACTGTCCACTAGTGAATGTTCAATGTCTACAGGTGAGAGGATGGACGCAACATCACGACATAATGTGTCACTTAAAAGGATATCAAAGGTTGATTATTTACACGCTGTGAGGGGAGTGAGGCCCACTGTGTCAAGCCTGCATCAGCATGTTGTCTAACCAGTATGGTACCAATAAGCTTTGTACAGGGAACCAGAAAACAAAATTCATAAAACTCTGCAGTAAATAAAGTTATAACATCACTTCAACAATTGCAACCCAACACAGGGAACCAAACCATGATTATTTAGTACTGTTAATTTACACGTTTGAAGAGTTGATTAGGAAAATCAATGTTGCAAAGCATTCATGGTGACAGAACAATCCTGATATTTTCTTCAAGGCTACAGAAAGAGTACCTGTCATGAGCCAGTCTTTCTGCCTTGGTAAACTATGAGGTATGCTAGTCAGCATCAATGTAACAATTCAAGTTAGACCAACAAATCAGAATCATCTTAAAAGTCATAAAACGCCTAATAACTCAAATTTAACAGCAGTTTTAACATTTCCATCCTAGTTGGGACCATTGACCTAAGTAACTTTTGAAATCTGTACTTTCAAAATCTCAAAAACCTCAAACACATGAATAAAGATTCAACAGAAAAGAGATTCAGTAAAAAGTATAAAAGTTAAAGTTAAGTACATGTCAAGAGGGCACAAGAGTGTCCTCCACTAAATAAAGAGGTAAGTAAACAACAACCAATAGGAAGACAACAAAACAAAGGACAGAGGAGCTAAAACACTACCAACGTGCAGAGTCAGTGTGAAGAAGCACATCTACACTACTCTACATCAAAACACCACCTTAGAATAAACTGTTATTTATACAAAAAGAAAAGCCCCCAGACAGACAAGGTTATTTTAAAAAAATATGCAATATTATGTTGATCAAGGGTAGAAGATGGAATGTTCAATACGGTCAGTGGGACAGAAAAACAAGGTGGTTCAAATGACACACCATGGTAACCAATCATCCCACTACCAATTTTACTTCTTTAAAAATCTCTTTTATCTTTTTTCCCCCTCCCTCACTTACTTACTTCCATTTTTTATTTCCTCACTCACCAAGATGAAAGGAAAGTTCAGCGGCATGTAGCACTGCCTTTCAACAAAGCCATTCAGTCAATGGATAGTTGAGACAAGGCAGCAAGTCGAGAAGACTGACTTATTCTTCTCGCAAAGTACATATATAGTCCACACAAAAGGATTTAAATCTTCAAAATTATAAGACAATATAGAAGCGTTCATTTACATAATAACGTTATCAACGGTCTTATCACGTCTTCTCCCCTGAACTTAAACCATTTAAACACACACTCATTCATCTTTTTCACACTTAGCTAATCGTTTCTCTCATTCACAAACTCTCACAGTACTGCATTGGGAGTATGGCGACAGGTGCATTGGATCGGATAACTGAGTGTAGCACAACGTACCACCTCATTACGTGAATATAATTCAATATTGTCATAAAAAACTATTTTACATTCCCATTGGAAAAAAAAGAAAGGAAGAAAAAAAGCTCTATAAGAGTGAGGGACATTAGACGAATGATATGCATACATTAATAAAACAAACTTCTGAAAAGAACCAGCTTGTGTTATGTGTAAGCTACTCATCCTCACCCAATGAATACCAATACTGTTAATTAAAATTGCAACAAAGAATGGCAGACTGTTGTACGGCAAGATTGTGCCAAAGTTAGGAACAATGAAAGATTACATATGTAAACATAAACATCTGAATATGCTTACATAAATTTGTATGTGCTTCCTTAACGTTTACACAGAAACAAAGGTGTGGAAAATTGCTTGAGAGAAAATTGCAAAATAGCCTATAACTTAACTAAGGAAAAATGCACACAAAGAAATTAACTTTCAGGAAAAAAAATTACACATCCAACACTAATACCATGTACAACCATTCCACTGCTTAGCTTGTAGGTACTTGTGCAGTCAAAAGCAAATCATAACAGATACTTTAAAGACTTTCTTTAAAAGACAGTTCATGTGCACAATTATAAATTATCATTAATTTCAATGTAAATGCAAAATATCAGTTGCCAAAGAAGAGTTGCTTACACTTACTTTGTACAACTTTTTCTCACAAAAAGCTAACTTAATCCTAACGATGAACACTGGGAGATTGGTGAAAGAAAATATCCTTCCTATGGCACTTAAAATATCTTTGTTCAACAAAAACCATTAATACTTTCTAGGGCGGAATCAAGGACTCAACTGAACCCAATAATAAGGGTCTCTTCAGCATTACAAAATATATCTTGATTCAATTCATAAAAAAATAATACAATATGCTGCTACCATGAATAAAGAATGCAAAATGCTGCTCAGGACGAAGCCATAGACATATATAATAATCAATGACAAAATTAAAATAATGTAAGCATGTGAGGATAGTTAAGAAGCTTAGCAGCTGCCTAGGTGCTTGAAAACAAACTATTGCGTACACAGACTTTCCACTTCCAGAATGGAACTGGATGTTTCAAAATATTTTAGTTAACTTTATAATACTTGTAAAGTGGTCAGAGTAATAAAAACGATAAGAATTAATTACTTGGACGTCCAATAATAAACCAAGTACAAATAAAAACAGAGACCAGTTCCAAAATCTGGAAGGGAGTCTGAAAGGTCTGTTTGTTCCATGAGTGTTCATTTTCTTTCATACAAGAATCGCAAAAAATAAAGGAAGAAAACAGGAGGAAAAGACCAGTTCCATGGGAAGTCTCCATACACAATGCTCCTACAATTCTCATACACACAAATACTTTTAGAAAACAAACAGAAAATGAATGAAATCAATAGAAAAGATTCAGATTTACATTAACAGCTAAAGACTGAAAGACAATGGGATTGTGATAGCTGTGTAAAATTAAGAGTGACACAATCAATAGAAAGTTTCACATCCAAAATGTTTCCCTCATTGCCACAAGTGTGAGCAGAGGTCCACAGCCTGCACACAGCTGCCACAATCTTTTTCATCCATTACAGAAAGAAACATACAGCTCATCAAGAGCCCAATTTTTAAACAAACAAATAGGATAAACAAGTGCCTGCCTATATGGCTCAAAGTTTGAATTAACAGATATGGCAATATGCCTCCTTTTTCATGTCAAACTTAGTGGTTTGGAACCCTGGCAAGGCACATCAGGGAACATTTAGATAGCAAGGGTAGAGTTGTCCCATTCAAGGTCCTTGTGCTTCCCAGACTCAACTTCTTCTTCTTCCTCATCTGTTGAGTCTAAATCGTCATCACGATAGCTGGATCCATCATCAGAGGAGTCGTCATCATCACAGTGCTCCCCTCGACCTCTTCCGCCAGCAGAAGCTGGTCCCTGGCCATTTGAAGGAGAAGATCCATTCAACTGCTAAACAAAAGAAAAAAAATATTAAAATAAATTGTAAACATTGAATTTTGAAGACAGAACAAATACAAAGCATATTGCTTTGTAATTACCTCCATAGGGTTCACAGTGATTGTGAGAGCAGAGTCATCCCATGCCATCTCTGTGTCAGCAATTTCTTCCTGGTTAGCACGGTGGTGTGCAGCACGAATGCGAATCACTCCAAGCACAATCATGAAGAGAAGGAATCCAACACAAACTACAATGATGATGGTAACAGCATGGCCTGAAATTGAAAAAAAAAAAAGCCACATTATTGTGTTATATTGAAAACCATACGAAAAAGAAGATAGTCATAATAAAGTATCATTTTGGTTTGAAAAGCAAAGGGCAGCGCACATACTTGCTCCAGTGACAGCCTGGACGCCGTCCATCAAAGAGTGCTCATCTGACACCTGTGCAGGATGCAATTCAACATGGTGCCGGTCAACATGAGCATGCGCAGGCTGAGGAGCATGATCGTGGCTGGCCTTCTTCTCATGTACATCCAAATGATCGTGGTCGTGCTTGTTAGCCGCATGAGGCATTTCTGTGCTCTTGCTGCCAGTCATACGAGGATGAATCACTGTAAGCTGTAAAGTTACAGACAAATTTAGTTAAATTGTTTTGCATGATTGATTATTCTAAACATTATAATTGAGATCAATGGCTGTGTAAAAAGATAAGGTTTTCACTTACAGTCTGGACATACTCATTGCTCAAAAATCGTCCATTGAGCTCTGAGCAAATAAGTTTGAAAACCCGGTTCAAGTAGTAGGCAGGTTTGCGATTGGTGTATTGAATTTGCCTCAAGATCTGTAAAGAAGAAAAAAGGAAAATAAGATAAAAATAAAATAAGTTGACCAATAGATAGAGGATGTTTAGGGTTGAATTTTATATAAATCTACCTGTTCATAGTTGTAGATTAAATCAGCTCCAGACACAATCACACCATCCTTGTTCACCTTAGCAACAACACCAAACTGTGTCAGCATGTTTTCTGGTAGAGACAGTGTTTCATGATCTGGGTTCAAAGATGGGTACACAGAGACAGAGCAGGAGTCAAGCTTCTTCTCAACACCACTTGTATCTAAAAAAAAATCACATAAAACAAAACATATTATTATCAGATATTACATAGCACTTTAACATAAGTAATTTACACTTGATAAATTAAAACCTACCATGGCTGTGTTTATTACCACTGACAGCACCAACAGTGACATGCACATCAGTGAAAACTCGAACTCCCTGACGGAAGTCCTCATAGTCACGGGCCAAGTTAGAAGTGCCATTGATAGAAATGGTGGGTTCCTGAGGTTGAAGGACCATCACATAGCTTTCAAGGCTTGGAACCTTCTTCACCTTTCCATGGTCACAGCTAAAATGAAAAAAGAAACCATTTTAAAAATTATTTTTGTTATAGTTTTGGTAAAATGTTTTCTAGAGACTTTAATTAAATGGGAAACATACGTGATAGTTGTAGAAATGTGCAGGTTGCGGCGGCCTGGTGTAGGGAATTCCCGAGAGTTGGTGTAACCTACACGTCGCATGAGAACCTCCAAGTTTGTTTTGTTGTCACCCTTGATGGAAAGCTCAGTGAGGTCTAGAAAAAATAAATGTTAAATTAGCAACAAATTCTTTAAAAAAACAAAATAGATTTGAATTTAAGACAAAAATGTAACTTCTAAATACGGAAAAAAAATAGAAAATGAAGACATACCACTGTTAGTGAGAAGCTCCATGCCCGGTTCCAGCAATTCCATGGCCGGCACTTCAAGACTCTCCTTGCACTTGTGGAGACAAGTCAAGACTTCAGGTCGCTCAGTACGATGTAAGAGAACTGAAAGGCCAGCAAGGTATCCATGGAAGTGGTGCTTCATTTTGTTTTCAGAACCTTGCCAGCAAGCTCCAACAGTTACAGTGGTGTTAATGCCCTTAGTTGGGTGCAGAGGCCAGTCATCAATGATTTCGGGGTTCTTCCTTTCAGTTTTGAAGAGCTGGCCATCAACATACAACTGGACATCTGGGAACTTGACCTCAACAGCATAATGATGCCAAATGTCATCACAGACTTGAGGAAGCTTCCAACGCCACTCAGCAGGTCTGAAAGTGTTGGGGTCATCATCGGAGAAATCTCTCCTCAGTAGCAGGATAAGGCGGCAGTTCCTCACAAACAAGGCATAATGATGACGGTTCATCTCTGAAAAAAAAAAAAAATAGCAGAGAGAATGAGTGCTGATTCCACTTGACACATTAATTAAAACTATGGTTCTCATGTCACTTACTGTGATCATCAGCTGAGCAGATAATGTGTTCCTTCATGTGCTTATCAGCACCAGGCTGCGGCTTGTGCTTCATCCAAGTCGACATTGTGAAGGTTGAGGCCAAAGTGTGATCCAGGACGCTTGGGGGCACAGCAAGAGCAGATGTCACGCCATCAAATTCGTACATCTGGTCTCCCTCATGCCCCTCATCCGTCTGCAAGTTCTTTGTCCATTCTGCTCCGGACGCTGGGCTTGGGAGCAGATCAATGCTGTCCTGACTGGCACCTAGATTGTCGAAAAGTACAAAAAAATTAATAAGTAAGCTTAGAGCATCTAACTCAGATCAAAATGCAGCCACGGAAAAACTTCTCACCACACAGCTTGCGCTGACTCGCGACCGAGTAAGTGTCGCGGTCGCACCCCTTGCCAATGTGGGCGGTGGTGAGCGCGACGCGAGCGTCAACCTGGCGCACCTGGCAGGGAACGTCACACAGCTGCAGCTCTGCCGAGGGGAACAGGTCCACTCGGCCGGAGCTGGGGGCATAGTCGATGCGCTCAGGGATACCTGGGAGGAAACGACAAAATTTTAATATAGGTTGGCCCACGTGTCATCTAAGAGTCAAATTGTAGTCGGAATCCTCCTTACCATTCCAGCCGAGGCGGCACACGCGGTTGACCTTGATTGTGACCATGACAGGGACTGACTGCTTCATCCCGCAGTCGTAAGCCACCACGGAGAGGATGTGGTTGTGGCTCTTCTCGAAGTCCAGAGGCTCGGTGTTGCGAATGACACCTTCATTGTCAATGGTGAAGGGTTGCTCGGTGGTGAGGATTTCATATTTGCAAATGTCGCCAAATTTGGGGGTGCAATCCCGGTCCTTGGCCTCCACTCGCACAATCTCTGAATACAGGCGACCCTCGTCCACTTGGTAGACATATGAGGGCTGCAGGAAGACTGGAGCGTACTCATTGATGTCTATGACGGTGATGTGGAGAGTAGCGCTGAAAAAATACAGTTCGCCATTAGCATCATCACTCATTTCTTTGAGGAATATTTGAATTAAATTTAGTAGTGGACAAAACTACTCACTTTTCAGAGACTTCTCCAGAGCAGCTCACTGCTGCAATGTCAAACCTGTAATTCTTCCGCTTTTCACAGTTGAGGGTCCTGTGAGGCTTCAGCTGCACTTCGCCTTCACCATCCTCCTTCAAAATGATCTGCAACAACAAAAGTAAAAACAACATGAAAAAAAAAGATCGATTCGAACATCGTGAAGCAGGGCCCGCCAGACCCTTCCTCAACAACAGTGCCCCTTGCCCCTCCCCTCCCCTCGGCCCACCTGGTATGAATGGGGGTGGGATGGGGGCGAGTGGGGCGAGGAGGGGAGGGGGTGGTTGAGGCGGAGAGGGGGGCAGTCCGTAGTTGCCAGACCGTAGACCTATCCAGCTAGACTGAACTGGTCACGCACGATCGATAGGGGGAAAAGGGAACGCCACGGAACCGAGTGCAGTGAGATGGGGTGGAGGGGGTTGGAAAAGGGGGGTCCGCAAGGGGGGGCCAGCCCGGCCAGCCCGGCCAGCCCGGCGCACGCCATGCCGTGCCTTAGCAGCAATGCGCCCTGCAGCAGGGCGAGCAGCGAGCAGGGTAGGGCCCCTGCCGCCCTAGCCGGCCATGTCGCGAGATAGCCACGCAACGGCGCGACCAAGCTGGAGCGAGCTGGAGCGCGCTGGAGCGGGGCCTTCGGGCCGGGCCAACCACCGGGCACGAGGGGGGTCAAGAAGGGGAGGCCTGTGCCTCGCGCCTCGGTGCGCAGCGTGCACCTCAGCGCCAACACGCCGCCACATACAGAGTACGGGCAGTACGGGACACGACACGCGAGGCCAAGCAAGCCGCCAGGCAGGCCGCTAAAAGTAAAGTAAAAGAGTGGAGCCAGCGGGCGGAGCAGGCCGCAAGCCGGGGCCAGACTGGCTTAGTTAGTTGCTGCTAGTTCAGTTCACGACAGCCCAACACAATCACACGAGCAACGGCCTTTTTCTCGTCATTTTCACGACGGCATCAACTGCAACCTTGTATCACACAGCTGGCCCCGGGGGCAACAAGACAGATTCCCGCCTCAAACCGGCAGCCGAGTCGACTGGCTGTGTGGCTCGCCGAGGCGCCGGCTGGGTAATCCAAGCCGCGGCGCCACTAGGAGAGGCGAGGCGAGGCATGGCCCCCTACCCCGAGAACTGCGACCCCGACGACGACCACGCGAACACGATCCACTGCTGCGACGGCGGATCAAGCTAGCCACGCGCGCGCACACACACTCACACACCCCGGACGGACAAGGAGGCAGACACGCGGAGGGGCGGCCGGGGCGTCGACACCACCGCGGCGGGGCGCGGCGGGTGACGTCTCACAAAGGCGTCGTGGCGGCGGCGAAGGGTCCTTCCCTCCAGGCCTTCCCTCCGGCCTGAGTCACGCACGGCACCTGCCCGACGAGGGCGCGGCGTGGCGTGGCGGTGTGGCGTGGCGGCGGGGCGCCCCGGGCGGGGAAGACTCGAGGGAGGGCACAGGGAACTGCGGCGGGGCGGGACAGCTGTCCGGCCGCCTGGCGGGGCAGGCAGGGCTGGCGGGGCAGGCAGGGCTGGCAGCCAGGCCGCGCGACAAAGGATTCCGCCCCCGGGGGCCGACGAGACCGACGAGACCGACGGGACGCCATGAGACGCCGCGACGTGACGGGCGCCGTCCAGGCAAACACACTCGGCCGGGGGCGCCGGGCGCCGCACCACCACGACGAGGACGTCGCCAAAAGGAACCGAATCGTCCACTTTGAGACAATGTCTTTTGGCTCGGCAACCCGACCACACACACACACAGTGTGTCCGTCAATACGCCTGTCGAGGCTGTCCGCGACACACATCCGCACAGCGACACAGCGAGGCACAAAGCCAGAAGACAAAGTGGCGGCGTGGCAGCGTTTCGTCGCGCTGTCTCTCTCGCACCCTCGCGGGCCGCCCCACGAGTGCGAGAGAGACAGAGCGAGGAGAGCGCGGCGGTTCGGAACGAGCCAGCCTGCAGGGCTCCAGCCGCGCCCGCCAATGCGGCCAGGGCTGCCAGGGCTATGCGGGCCCCTCTGGATAAACTCATTCGGGCCGAGACAATAAAGCGAGATAGAGATAGGGGGAGAGAGACGGGCAGAGGGTCTGCCATTAGTGGGACACCGAGTGCGACACCGCGAGTGGGACGTGGTGGGACGCCGGGCCGCACCAATGCACCAAACAAGAGCAACGCCAATCAGGGCCCAGCCGAGCCAGCGGACGGGTCGTTGTCATGCGGGGAGTGTGTGGTCGGCGCTCCAATTGTTTCGTTTGGACCGTAAAGGGGGGGGGGGGGTGCTCCGTATGCATCGCATTCCCTGCCATCATCATTAAACCACAACAAGTGGACACACACACACGCACACACACACACAGCCATCCCCCCGCCCCGCTCGGCGAGACCCTTCGTACAACCCGCTCGCGCAAATTCCGCACATCTTTTGCAGTCCGTCCGTGTAGCCACTGATGATAATTGCTTCAGAGAAGATGAGAAAGAGGAGAGGGGGCTGCCGGCTTGTGAAGGGCCGAGGGGCCGCCGAGCTGGGCCGCCACTCGGGGAAGGATATGGCGACATTAAGAACACTCGCGGTATACAGTGGAGCGCGCGGAGTCTGGAATCGGCTTGGGCGCCGCGTGGCGTGGCAGTGGCGTGGCAGTGGCGTGGCAGTGGCGTGGCAGTGGCGTGGCGCATGGCGCTCTTTGGGCCTGGCCAGACGGGCCAGACGGCAGGCTTCGGCCCCCAAAAGTCCCAACGCCCTAAACCAAGGAAAAGATCGGATTGGGGGGGGGGGGGGGGGGGGGAAGGGGGCGGGGAAGCGAAGCGGGGACCTTATAGGGCGCCCGTTCTGGCAGGCCTCAGCCAAAGAAGGAATTATTTTGCCTTCGGCCCAAGCGGCTCGCTGGGCCGATTCCGAGCAGCTCTCTCTCTCTCTCTCTCTCTCTCTCTCTCTCTCTCTCTCTCTCTCTCTCTCTCTCTCTCTCTCTTTCTCTTACTTGAGCACTCATGGGGCGTTCCGCAGGAGTGCGAGAGAGACACAGCGACGAGGCAATGTTCGGACTGAGCGCGCTGGGCTCGAGGCTGGGCTGCTGGTCCGCGCCACAATGAATAACGGAGCCGTTGCTTCCAGCTGTTGCGGACGGCGCGACGGAGGAAACTTTTTAACGCGACGCGAGGCGAGGCGAGGCGCGAGGTCCACTCGACTCGGTAGTGTCTCGCTCTCGCTGCTGCGAGTTTGGCGGTGCGACAGCGCGACAGCTCCAGCCTACCAAAGCGCGCTCCGCAGCGCCACTGCCCGCTGCTGCCCCTACACCGAAAAAAGAAGAACAACTCGCGAGAGAAAAAGACAGAGACGACTTTGTGTGCGCGCCGAGGGCGTGAGCTGGCTGCTGACTCACTCACTCACTCCACCTGCCCGCTAAGGAGCTTCCGGCCGGATCGAACCGCGCAGCGCACCGCGCAGTAGATTAGGTGCTGGAGCGGAGCCTAGTGGGGCGTGGCGGGGCGTGGCGTGGCGGGGCACGGCGCGCGCTGCTCGGGTCGTTGTTCGTCAGCCCCTCTGCCAAAAGCCAAGCCGAGCCGTCCGCCAACTGGCACACTGGCTAGCGCTGGCTGGCGCCCCTTGCAGCGTGCGCCCCGGCGGCCCCACAAACTTGCGCCCTCCATCGTCACGCGCGCGAGTTTGTCAGGATGACGACGACCCGCTGGCCAGTCACCCCGCCACCCCGCCAGCCCCCTGCCAACTGTGCAGACATCGTATTCCCTTCCTGGGGAGTTGGCAAACCCGGGAATACTACGCCGCCCCGCCCCGCCCCGCCGCGCAGTGAGCACACCAAGGCCCCTCCTTGTGCCGAGCGGGCCGTCGCTCAACTTTGGCCAACATGTGAGGGATGGCGGAGTGGGCGTGCAATCGACAACCCCCTCGCCCCACCCCCCTCCGCGGCGCGGCCTGGCGAGGGCGCATCAGCCAGTCGAGGCACGCGCGGCGCAGCCCCCCCCCCCCCCGCCACCAGCCGCACGTACCACTGCAACGCCCGGCAGCACCGACCCCCTCACGCCTATCACCTTTCTTCTGCGCCCCTTGCCTGCTCCAGCCCCTGGAGAGCGACCCCCACCCCCTCCCCCTCCCCGGGCTGGGCGTAATGCACGAGGCAAATCGCAGGCAGGGCCAGGCAGGGCCGGGCGGCCCCAACGCAATGACCGTAGGCAAAGGGCCAGCACTGCCGCAGCACCGAGGCCCTTCTCCGGGCGGCCGCAGACCGCCCTGTAAGGGCTTTGCTTCGCGGCCAAAGGGCGAAAGGGCCAAAGGACCGAGCCAGGGGCGGCCAGGGGCGGCCAGGGGCCAGGGCTAATGCCGAGGGACGGCACGACGGGACGCCGACGCCGAGGGGCTGCCGGCCGTACTGTTTCTTCCCCCCAGTCCCCACGCCACACCCTGCCTCCCCTAGAGGTCCGCGTCGGCCGAGGCGAGCCGAGGCGAGCCGAGGCCTAGATTGCGCGCCGAGATCGGGGGCGTCCGGAGCCCAGTAGAGCCCGCCGAGGCCGGAGCGGACAAGAACACATCAAGCAAGAAGAGGCGCCGGCGCCGGGCGCCCCTCCCCTTCGCATCCTTTCCCATCCGAACCGAACGAGGCGCGGCGTGCTTTGATTCGTAAAGCCATCGACCCATCCACCCATCCATCTGGCCGTCCCTCCGTCCGTCGGCAGGTGGCGGGCCGCCCGTCACTCGTTATCAGCCGGCCACTCCAGGGCGGCGGCACGGCGATATCGCGCCGCTCCGTAGTACAACTACAACGGATTAAGGACAGTAGCTGGCACACTGTGCGCGCCGCGCCGAGCACGCCGCCGTAAAGCCCTCCCCCAAACCAGCCCGTTTGTTTGCGGAGACCAGCCAGGCCTTGGCCAGGCCGCCACACACACTGACTGTCTCGGCACCGCGAGCGCGCCGAGCATGAGGGAGACGAGGACGCGACGCTACGCGAGGCCGGCCGGCCGGGCGCGCACGCCGCGCACCAAGCTACTCGGCTTTGCAGCTTTGCATAACTGGCACGAGTGCTAAGCCTAAGCCAGGAGGCGCGGCCTGGCCGGGCCTGGCGCTGGGAGTACAAAGACGCACGGCAGGCTCATTCCGAAACGC